GCACTTTCTTTTCCTCTCTTTTGTACAATGACTATTACACATTTTGGGTTGCATTGCTCCCACGGTTCTTACTGCTTTTTTGGAAGAGAGTAAAACCAAATGTGACATAACAGAACAGAATCGGTCAAGTCAAAAGGGTGGATATAATAGATAATATAAAAACATAATACAAGGTGATCAACAATGGTTACCATAATGCCTCCCGCTATTTCTAATAGAATTGCCTATATCATTAGTTGTAATACAATTGAACAAAACAGTAAAGAATAAAACCAACAAAACCAAAACATTGGAGACATTGTAGGTCTTCAAAAGTAGATAAAAGTCAACGAGAATGGGCGTTATAATGAATCTCATTATCTTCTCAGCTGATGCCTAAACTTTCGAACCTGATACTATCCAGCAAAACAGAATAGAGGAACCTCAGTCAAAAACAAGATGGTGAGAGTAATACAGGGCTTGTCTTTTCTAGGGACTTTCATGGAGTAAAACCATGAGGTGAGACAGGTCCAAAATGGGGAAAACAAGGGGGCTTGCAAGGCAGGCAGACGTGAGGAGGGACAGAACTGTGGTCTACTGATTAAGATTAATTAAGATTAATTGTTAGGCAAAATTGACCAAAGCAGGGGCAAATGGGGAAGCAAGTGCATAGCCAAGGGGCATGTTTAAAGAGCAGTGACTCTTCCATTAGGGCCGTGGTTGGTATGGTGACTCCTGGCTTCCTCAAGGTGATCAATACCGATTCAGAATACCAACCCCTGATGTTTATACTTAGGATGTGATTGCATTTGTTTTGCCTTTTGTTTTGAGATCTGGCCCACAGCGGGAGGTGTCTGTCTCCTCCAAGGTTGCAAGGTACCTGGTCTTCTGCAGCTGGCTCCTTTGACAGCCCTCCTGTCTGACGGCCTAGAATGTTTCTAACTAACTCAGCTGCCTATAGCATCACCCACTTCTGATGTCCTCTGCTCAGTCCAGCCTTTTGGTGATTCGTGGTGCTGTCTCCCACCCAGAATGCCCTCCCTCTGCCCCCTGACCTTTCTATTCTCTGCCATCCTAGGTGCCATTCACTCCATGGCCTTCCCAAGACTGGGTCTGTAGTCACTTGCTGCTTGGGATCCCCTCCGGTGGCCTGCAGCTGAAGATGTATAATTTCTTTGTGACCCTCATGGCATCGTGTGCGCCTCTGCTCAGTTCTGGCCGTGCTGGGTGTGTGGCCCCGCTGTGCCCTGTGGGCAGGAAGGAGACACCTCTTCTGGAACCTTGTCCCCCCAGCCGCACTCGTGCTGCCAGGGAAGAAATTTCTCCCCCTCTGAACTTCTCTCCCTTGCTCTGCTCCTTTTAATATGCAGGGAGACAGGATGAGAGGGAAGGCAATCAGCTGATTTATTTACGTGTTCTCTTCCTTTGAAATGATCCTGGGGCATTTTCTTATTTAATTATTAATGCCCCAAATCAGACGGTGCCCCCTCCGTTAACCTCTGTCATTCCAGATGGAGTCGGCCTAATAACCACTGTGGCAGGATTGATTTCCCCTCAGTCAGCTCATAAGCATATGTCTTTGGGGTCTGTCCTCTGGGAACCTAGGGAAGGCCCAGGACAGTGAGCGAGGAGGCGTTGTTCCCGTGAGGTGACAGCTCCTCTCAGGCTGCTTTTCTGTCCTCCTGAATGAAATGTCTGAGACCTGCTGAAATCTCCTCCTAACAGTCAGTTTCAGAAAGGAGCTCAGCCCTGTCTTTGGGGTGCTCACGGTGGTGTCAGGAAGATAAAGCAGACCGGAGGGGCATTGTGAGTGCAGGTGATGGAGATCTCACTGGAGGGTGTGGCCCTAGCTGTGAGCCACTGGCTGTAGCTGTCTGGGACCCAAAGCAGGGCAAGAAGGTGACATCTGCATATGCAGAGTTGAGGGCACAGGATGGTCATTTTGGACGAGAGGAGTGGTGTGAGCAGGACTCCTAGGGGAGAAGCCCTGCCCCAGCAGGGGGACAGTAAGGATAGTCTTGGTGAACTGATTATGTGGATGGAACCCAGCATCTTGCTCATGTCTGCCAAGTGCTCTACCATGCTGCCACACGCCAGCCCAGCAGGCGTCATTTAGATTGGACCAGCATCCAGGAAAAAGCCCAAGGGGATCCGAGGAATCCTCTCCACTGCCTCTAGCACTGGGCATCCTTCCTTATCTGCTTATAGCCTTAGAGGTGGCTTTGGTCTCAAACGGGAGTTGCCATTGGTGAAGTCCTGGTGTGAATCCTGGGTGCCCCCTGCTTTGTGAACCCAGCCACTGTCACCTTGGTGGAACTGGGAGGTCAGAAGCAGTGTCTTGGGCTGTCAGTCCAAATGCTTCTGTCCTGGCTGTGGCCGGGGCTACCCCTCCACCCAGGTCCACATCCTGTTGTTCATGCTGATGCCTGTCACCCACTCTCTGCCCAGTCTCTGGGGCTCTCACTCCTAGGGGTGTCCAATGAACCTTCCTGACCAGCCCTGATTTGGGGAAAAAGCTTGCTTGCTTGCTTGCTCTCTGTCTGTCTTTCTTTCTTTCTCTCTCTCTTTCTCTCTCTCTCTTTCTTTCTTTCTTTCTTTTTCTTTTTTTTAAATTTTATTTAAGAGGAAAAAGAGAAAAACACAAAACAAAACAAAGCGGTGTAAGGGTACACGTAATACAGAACTACAAAAAAAAAATAACAGTAAGAAATCACCTGTTAATAGATTACATATTATCATCTTGAAAATAGTTGCTCAAATCACAGTATCAAAGAATACAAGGTGGACATTCAAACAGGGAGACTGCAAACAGCTGTGTTCAATGATCCAAAAACATTGATATAGTCAGCTATTTAACACCCCTAAACACACTTGCTGTTATATCCGTTAGAGCTCTTTTACTTTTTTTTTTTTCCCTCTCTTTTTTACAACAAAATTTACACATTTTGGATTTTATTACTCCTTAGTGCTTATTACTTTTTTGGGGGGGAGAGAATACAGTCAAATATGGCAGAACAAAGCTGTCAGTCAAAACCAAGGATAGACATAGCACATGGTGTAGAACATTAATAGAGATTTAGAAAGACTTCTCAAATTGCCACAGTGATCTAGAGCAGCACAACCTTCTAGCACTGGAGGTCGAAGTGACCAGAAGCTCCACCCTGACTGATCTAGGTGGTCTCCCCTCTTGATGCTCGAGAAATCTGAAGCTGTCCCCAGGATTTCCTGGGGAGAACCAGAGCTGCCCAAATCACAAGTCAGGTTTGCAGAGGAACCCGAATGAGGCAATCGCCACAAGCTGACATTCAGACTCTATGCCTGGGGAGGTGCTGTGTTCACTCCTCATTTCTTCATTCCACGCCTGATTGGCCTCAACCTCCCCGCAAGGGCATGTCCAACTCCTCCTGATTCTCCCTATGCCCCAGGGCGTGACCGCCAGTGTCCTCTGCAGCTATTGTGTTGTGTGCACTCCTCTGTGCCAGGGGGCTGCTGAGGTGCCAGGAATCTCAGAGGCCAGGGCTGGACAGGGGTGAGTGAGCCAGGGACAGAGTGGCCGGGTCTCGTGGACTCTGCAAATTGCGCAGGAACCTTCTCTTGCCTAGAGAGTGGAAGGATGCATTTGAAATCTCACTACATCTGCATTTAGCTAGATGATCTCTAGTTTTCAAATAGAAAGTTAGACCTCATTCATCATTAATCTGGACCCCTGTGGTTAGACAGAATTTGTGACAATTTGTTTATCTTTGAAGGAGCTGCTGGGAAAGAGTTTAACAAGATTATTAGGGTATAGAGGAGGGTGTTTAACCTTTGGGAAGAAAGAAAATCCGTGTAACTGAGCCCTGGGCAGAAATAGGGGTGGGTGCAAAATACCTGCCACTCTTTTCTTCCCCCAGGGAGGGTAACTGTCCCTCATCTGGAAACTCAGAGCTAATGAGCCTGGTCCCCAACCCAAGCCTGGGGCCTCTTTCCAACATTAAAATATTTTTCTGTTACCCCCCTGTCCCTAGCTGTTAGAAACTATATTTTTTTTGTATGTTGCAAGTTGAGAAGAAAAGTTATTTTGAATTCAGTTAATCTTTTCAGTAAATAGCATCCCGATAGCATCACTGTGCACGTGAAAAATTGTGCTATATCTGAGTCATGGTGTTCCTCTGGTTAATAAAAGACCCTGGGACTGGTGAGCCTTAGCTTCCCTGGGGGTGCTGCCACCTTCCCCTGTGACACCAAGGCCGGTGACCTGCCCGTGACCTGGCACCTGCTCTGTAGGGGGCACGGAGACTGTGGAGCCCTGGCTTGTTACAACAGGAAGGGTCACCCCAGCAACTCCTTCTGGGTTCTCTGTCTTCTTTGAAGGGCCCATATGGGGTCCCCAGGCAGGGACTACAGCATAGCACCTGTGCAGGCACGTGGATCGCCTGCCACACGCTATTACTTTGGGGGCCTACATCACACTCTGCAAAGGGCTCTCTTAGGACCCCTTACTGAACTCAGCCTCTTCCCGCAGTGGGAACGATGAGGGTGACCCTCAATGGCTGCATGGCTCTAGGTGGCAGGCGGGGGTCGGGGGGGGGGAAGTCAAGGGTGAGGCTTGTCCAAGATGCCAGAGACGGACAAGGAGAATGCTGCCATTAAACAGGTTAGATCCAGTGTTCCTGGGTGAAGGATGGACACCCTGAAACTGTAACCAGATTAGCACACATGGGCATATTTCTGGAGGGACAGCCTATAACTTTCATGTGATTCTTGAAGCCATTCCCAGGCGAAAAATCCCTCCAGAGCTCCTGGCTTAGAGTTTTGACTTTTCCCTGACTCAGGCTTCCTCTCTCTGCTGGCTGGGAACTGGTGAGCTGTTGAAGTGTTAGTCAAAGCCCACAAGTGTGAAATATCAAATGCTCATTATACCATGGTGATGGAAACCTCACTTAGCAGGCCTCTCCCCCACTTTGGGGGAGAAGGCTCAGTGCCAAACAGAGACTGGGACAAATGGCAGAATGACATCATTCCCTGGTTCTCCCGCACAGGGTCCCCATGGCGCTCCCTGAGACTGGCCTGGCTGTCTTCTTCCTCCTGCGGATGGCCTTTACCCTGAACCCTGAGGACCCCAACGTGTGCAGCCACTGGGAGAGGTAAGACTCGGGTCTCGGCTGGCTCCCAGGGACTCACCCCAAGCCTGGTGGCATGGGGACAGAAGCAATCAGGAGAAGGAGCAGCTGTCTACAAGACGCTTTAGTGGACGCTTTGGGGACAGCTCAGATGCTGGGGACAAGGACTGAGCTGTGCAGATTGACCAAGATGCAGTGCTTCAGAAGGTGGGTGGGCAGCGTCTGCACCTGCAGTGGAGAGCATAGTGTCCCACGCCTTCCCGTGTTTGTACCTCCTGCCCACTTTATAGTTTTATAGTCAGAGGAACCCAGTCCTTGTGCACAGCCAGCTGTGGTCCCAAGTGTCTTGCTCTGAGATGCAGGTATGCCAGGCCTGGTCTGCAGGACTGGTACCCTTATGGCGAGGAAGATGAGCCACGGCCCTGCTCTCCTGGTCTGATGGGGCAGGGGGCTGCTGGCGAAGGGTGATGGAGGCTGTGGCAGAGAGTGGGCAGCATCATGGCTGCAGTGCCAGCTCCTAAGGAGTGGCCTGGGTCCCTGCAGATGGTCTGACTTTGAAACACAAGGTTAAAGTATTGATTTTGGTGAGCAGAAAGACAGTGACCAGAGACCCAATCAGGAAAAACCGAATTAAACCCTGGAATTGATTGGCTGTGCTGACCAGGATGACTCTGCCACTTAGATGCTAATAAATCAAATGAATAAAATTAAGACGAAGGCCTGACGGGGGAGGTGGACAGAAGAGGAGGGGAGGTGCACTGGAAGTCAGCTCTGTGCGTGTGGGGGTATGTGACCGGCTGTGACAGAGAAAGGCTCCCCATCTGCAGTGGCTCCAACACTTGTGCCCATGCCAGACGCCTCTAGTGACCAGGTACTCCAGGAGGAGTCCTGAGAAAATGGGTGACAGTCCTGAGAAAATGGGGAGAAGACAGATCCAAGATGGGAAGCCCTGGGTGCCCTCCGGTCCGGATCTGTCCAACTGCTGGCCGTGTGACTTAGAGGGAGCATTTGAACCTTGTGAGCCTGCATCCAGCCCTGGTGGTCGGGAGGAAGATTGTTGTTACTTCCCAGGCATGTTGGGGGATTAGGGGCACTAGTCCCACAGACCATAAAGCTCAATCATTATTTTCCTCCCACCAGCCTTCGCTTCAGAAGTCATCACAGACTTGTGTGCACAGAGGGCTCACTGGGGTACATGTTCTTGAGGTTCTGGCCCCAGAGATTTCAATCCAGTATTGCATTCAGGATAGCCCTCGCTCAATTCTGAGTGTCCCCAGGCCCCTTACCACCTCGGTTTGGGGGAATTCACACTTTCTCTGCCAGCGGGTTAGGGAGGTGTGTGGGCAGACGCCACGCTCTTCTCTGGCCTGGGAAAGACATGGTGCTTCCTGGTCCTGTCTTTGTGGCAGCCTGGCCGTATACTGTCCCCTGGTCACTTTCACCTGCCCCCAGGCTCCAGCCCTGTTTCCCCTCCTGCAGGGAGGCCTCTGAGGGCTCCTCAGTAATTATGCTCCTCCCCCTTAAAAGCTGGGGTAGGGTGAGGGCTTCCCCTGGCTGGGAGAGCTTGGCCTAACAAGATTAATCAGCCCTCATTAGCGTGCTGGCAAATGAGCAGCAGTGACACTGGCTGTGACAGTGGGGCATGTGCTTTGGTCACGGACTTGGTACGAGGTCTCAACTCCAGACTTGCTCCTCTCAGGGCATCCTGCAGAGCAGGTCTGTCCCCCAGGGCTCCCTGAACCCTCTGCTGGGTATCCATAGCCCCTGTCAGTCCCAGGAGGGGGCTGAGCCCCAGTGCTTAAAGGTAGGGACCCATCCTGCAAAGAGATATTGCTCTCTGTCCTCCGCCATGCTTGGGGAGGAGTAGCTTTTGGTGCCTTGCATGGGAGGTAAACTGTTGCCTGCCATGTAGTGATGAGGGCCAGTGTGTATGAAATGCTTGCCATGTACCTGGTCAGCATTTAACACAAATTGCTCAGTTTATCTGCCCACCGCCCTGACACATGGATACCGTTATTCTGTTATTGCCCTTCTTGAGTCTTTATGGTAATCACATGATTTCCTCATAATATGTATCATAGATTTATAGGCAGGGTCTACAGGAGTTAAATAACATGGTGGCTAAGGACGGGCTGCTAACAAGCTGCAGGCTTGCATCTCTGGGCTCCAGGGCCGGGCTTCTCTGACCCCTTCATTGTCCTGTCTCCAGGTGAGACATTCAGCAGGTGTCACCAAGTGCCTCAGTCTTAGAACTGAAGTGGCCCATGGGAAGGTGCTGCTGTGCCTCAGTGTCCCTAAACCTGGACAGAAGCAGGACTCTGAGCCACATGTCCGGTGGGCTGGCTGCTGGGAACTCTGAGAGTACTCAGTCCATCCTCAGGGGGTTAGATAGACTTTCCTGCTCCTCGGGATGCCTGAGCCTTGCTGATGGCTCCTGACCTTTGGCCAGCTCTGAAAGCCTGGGAGGACCCACCTGTGCCCAGCCATGTCGCAAATGAGCTGACACTTCCCTCAGGCAAAGCAGACGGACTTTTATAGTCTAGCCCTGGCCATCTGGTCCAGGTCGGGGCACCTACTGAGAATGCGCTGAGTAATACCAACCGACTTAAAAATTAATTCTTGAGATCTCAGCCGAGATGCTCTGCAGCCTGCCCAGGGCAAGCACACACTTCGGCATCCTGGCCTCAGTGCCGTTCCCTGTCACCCTGCTGGGGTGGCGGGCACAAAGGCTTATTTTAGTGACGCTGAGATCTGCTTTCCTGTGGCTTCTACCTGCTGGCCCAGATTTATAGCAAATAGGGAAATGACAAAGATCTGTCTTTGGGGTGCAGATCCTCTGCGTGTCCAACTACACGGTGACAGATCAGACTGTGGCTGGGGATCTTGGGGTCCAGCACTCCATTTCCTCACCTGCGGAGTGAAAGTCACAATGCACTTCCTCTGTAAGACTGCCTGAGAGCTAAGGGGCACTGATGTATTTAACATTAGAGCACTGAATACGTGACCTGAGCAAGCTGCCGCTCTGTGCCACAGTCTCTTCATCTATTCAAGGGGCCACTTGCTTCCTAGAGCTGGGGCTAGAGACACGGGCCATGATGCCCTGCTAATGCAAAATATTTTAAAACTTGTTAGCTCTGCCTTTCAGAACCAACACAGAGCAAAGCTAACCCTGCCTTTACTCATTCTCTGATGAAGGAACCAATGAATAGAATTTTGGAAAATCAGCTGAGCCAAAGGGCCAAGAGCAAATAAAGCTTGGATCCTGGGTCCCGCCTGGGGTGCGGTGGGGTGGGGTTAGCACCAGGAGGCAGAGCACCGGAGCCTAGCCCGGGGCTGTGGGCCAGGTGAGCCCTTCAGGGGACTTCAGGGTGGCCTGCCCTGAGCCGGCCCATTGACGGTAGCTTCTGTCTCTGGTCTGCCCCACAGCTACGCCGTGACCGTCCAGGAGTCCTACGCTCACCCCTTTGATCAGATCTACTACACACGCTGTACCGACATCCTGAACTGGTTCAAGTGCACCCGGCACCGGTGAGTGGGGCTCTCCGTGCAGGGGCCAGGATGATGGGAGGTTGGGAGAGACCCCGCTGCTCTGTCTGCACATGAAACGCTAGAGGAGCCTGTGACGGGGCCCAGGGGACTGAGCACACCCTCAGATGTGACCGATAATCCCAGTGCATAGAGCCCTTGGCCCCACGGTTGTGACCCACATGGAAGCACACCTCTCCTGGGAGGCTGCCTTTACTTCCGTCTCTCTTTTTGGTTCCCCTGGGTCACCCGGGAGCTCAGTCACCTAAGGTTACCTCCCAAGTAAACTGTTGATTCTTGGAGTCCTTGTCTAGGGCCTGCTTTTGGAGGTGAAAAATTGAGACAGCTGCCCTTAGAGCAGATGTGGTGCCATGACAGGGCATCTGGCTTGGAGAGCGGAGTGTTAGACTGTCATTCAGGACCTTGACTACGTCCCTTTTAGCAGAGCTCAGCACAAACAACTGTACCTGATAATCCTGTACCTTTATCTGGACCCTCCTGCAATTTGTGATGTGCTTTCATGTCATAGGGGAGTCAGGAGAGAAGGGGTAGGGAACGCACTTCGAGGGATGATCCTGGGAAGTCACTTGGTTGTGGGATTACCAGTGTACTCTGCCTGACATGCAGGGTCCAGTGAGGTGAGGACTGTGACAGTGGTTTGGAGAGTACTAAAGGGAATTGGGAAAGGTGTTTAGGTGTTAGAAGCATTGTTATCAGAAAGGTTCGAAAGTGGCAGAAGCATAGATAAGGTCTAAGGGCAAAGCCACACCGTGGGGGTGGGGCCCCTTCCATGCTAAACATTTAGGTAGATTCCGGGTTTCTCTTCTGTTTCTTTTCAACTCAGAGCTGGGTGTGGTGGTGCGAACCTGTAATCCTAGCCCTCTGGAGGCTGAGGCAGAAGGATTGCAGGCCCTTCCTGAGATTTAGTGGAATTCCTGGTGGGCAGCAGCATGGACTGGGAACTTGCTCTGTGCAGAAACCAAAGTGCAGGTTTTTTTTTTTTTAATATGTCACTATTAACTTTGAGACACAGAGTATAGATAAAATATCTGCTTGCAAATCCTCGTCTGCTAATTCTGACATCTGAGACACCTCAGTGTTGGTGTTCATTGGGTAGAGACTGTTTTCCCCTTTCTTTGTATGTCTAGTAATTTTAGGTTGTGTTCTAGATACCACAAATGATTTGTTGTAGACACTGGATTCTGTTATGCTCTTACTGAGAGTATTAATTTTTTAAAAACTGTTTTAGGAATCAGTTAGCTGGGCTAACCTCAAATTCCAAGCCCTGAAAATTCAGTATTTTTAGCCTTGGCATCTTCTCTCCACAGACATAACCCAGGGGCCTAAGTTTGGACAGAGATGTGACAAGGAATAGGGGCTCTCTTCGATCCCCGTTACTGATAAAAAGTTAAAAGTTAAAAAAAAAAAAGAATAGGGTCTCTCTCTGTTTTTTTTTTTTTTTTTTTGTTACCAGGAGTTGAACTCAGAACCTTGCACTTGCCAGGCAGGCTTTGTGCTCTAAGCTCTGTCTGGGGCTGGAGCCTCCTCTTTGCACCGCTCTCCTTTCTGAGATTTCCCCTTGCACTTAATAACTGTAGCCTCTACCCTTGACTTGCCTCAGGGATCTTCCAACCCAAAAGCTGGGCCTTTCATCTGGATCACAGTCAGCCGGGCTATTCTTGAGCTGGCCTGCTCAAGGCATTCCAGTGTCCGTGCCCGGCTGTGCCTGCCACCTCTGTTCTCTCTGTAGAGCCTTCAGGGCATTGGTTTTTCTTTCTCCAGATTTCACAGTTGTTATTAGCAGAAAGTTTGAGCCAGTAGTTGCTTCTCAGCCATTACTATGTCTCCTTCTGTTTGCTTTGGCTGTGAATATAGACGTGAGCCTGAACATTTGTGGAACCAAATAATCACGAGACCAGATGATCGTGGGACAGATGGTCTCTCCCGGGCTCCCCACTGTTGCTAGTCTTGGCCTCCTGTGGCCCTGGTCAAGGGTAGGGGCAGAAATTGGAGTCCAGCTGCCCCCCAGAACCCTGGCATCCCTGCCTACAGCCTGGCTTTGCTCTGAGGTGTGGCTCTTGAAGATACTCAGAGTCCACAGCTGCCGTCCATGCTCTGGAGGGCTCTGCTCAGGGCTCCTTGGTACTGCTCACGAGGCTTCCTATAGCAAGTGTTTCCGAGGGAGGAAGATAAATGTGGTGCCGACTGGGCCTCAGGGTCCTTTTGCTGCTCTTGCTCCCCAAGTGGTGGATCCATCCCTGGTGGGACAGCGTGGGTCAGGGCACAGAGCTCTGAGAGTTGACTGCTGTAAGTGCTCCCCATGGCCTCCTCTAGCCCAGACTTTGGAGGTCTCAAGGGACTGAAGAGAAGCCCACGGTGGCCTCCACAATGTCACCCCAAACAGGCTCCCCCAGCCCTCCCTTTTGGAGGAGCCCAGGGGAATGAGCAGGCTCTGTGGATGCCCTATCCCAAATATATTCCGCACCACAGCGGCTCTATCCCGCCATCGATCTCCCTTTATTGTGTTCTTCATATTTGAGGCCGCCGTGCATTTTAAAGTAATTATTGAATGGCATCCTCGATACAGCTTAACACAAATATCATTCTAAACGGGAGAGATTGATTTTCAATACTTTCAAGTGGCTTTCTCCCTTGTGCCTTAGGATCAGTTATAAGACGGCATATCGGCGCGGCCTCAGGACCATGTACCGGCGCCGGTCCCAGTGCTGCCCTGGCTACTACGAGAACGGCGACTTCTGCATACGTATGTAGTTGGGGCCGAGGCACTGGCCTCTGTGGGGATGGGGTGGAAGCAGGCTTGTCTTCAGCATCCCTGGGCAGCAGGCCTTGGCCAACCCATGCTTTTAGAAGTCTCCTGCTGCCTGTGCTCAGAGGGCGTAAAGGATCAGCTCGGCTTCCTTGCAGGGGGACAGGAGCAGGGCAGGCTTAGGCTCTGATGGCTCTGATGGAGGAAGAGAGCAATAGCTGCTTCTGGAGTGGGCCTCTCAAGGAGTGCTGAATGCTGGGCATAGAGCTATCTGTGTGTAGCAGCTGGGCTGCCTCGTTGTACTGCAAAACAGTCCTTAAGAGGAGGCTGGCAAGGGGGAGGGTCCCCAGAGGAGGAGAGTGATTCCAAAAAGAACTGGAGGACAGTGAAGGAAAGATGGATACACAAGAGTCCAGCATTTCCTCTAACAGCCAAAGACAGGAGCCATGGTGTCCACTAGAACGGCAGGTGCTGAGTGGCTGGCAGCCCGAAGGGCCCCTGGGGACCAGCAGTCCACTCCTGTGGCTCTGGGAATCCACCCAGCCTTCCCCCAGGGGACTTCTGGGGGCATCTGCACCCTCCCCTCACTGCACGCAGGCGCTTGTCCAGGACCCCACCCCAGAGCAGCTGCCCTGTTCTTGTTACCATTCTCCTAGATGTCCAGGGGGCGGGGCGCAGGGTGGGCAAAGGGCCAGGCCCTGGGGAGAGCCTGGACAGGCTGGGTATTGGTGTACTGGGGACAAAATGACAGTTTTCCTTTCCTGTTGCTCCATTGACCCCAACGCTGGAGACACTCGATTCTAGTCGCGTTACAGGAATGAGTGGAAAACGCTCCGGCAAGTGGGTTCAATAGTGATGGTTTTGCAGGAAAAATGTGAAGAGTCCCACAGGAAGCCCATTCCAGAGGCTATTTCTCAGTAGCGGGGTCGGGGATGGAGCTAGGGCGCTGGGGTGAGCCCAAGACCCAAGACCAGGCCGAGATGGGGTCAGTGTAGCCGACCAGGTGGAGCACAGGATCATAAAACCCAAACAGGGTGGATATCTGTGGTCGTCTAGCTGGTGGCCTGGTGATGGCCAGGAGTTGGGGTATCAGCACCGGCTCTGAGCACTTGGGAAATGAAGACCAGGCAGAAGTGTATTCTGTCCCGACCTCTAGGCCACTGTCTGGCTGGCAGGGAAGACCACTCCTGACCTTTTGGCCTCCTGCTTACGTAACCACAGGACATTTCCTGCCGAGTGGGATGCTGTAGGCCCGTGTCCCGGGAAGCCACCTGGAAGAGCCACTTTGAGAACTAAAGCTTTTCTTAGACTGGAACAGCAGTGTTTTGGCAGTGACACAGGACATGGGGGCATCCTGGCTTGGTGGTACTGGTGACACGAAACCTACAGGCCTGGGGTCAAGGCTCTAGGCCACGTCTAGCTTTTCTGTCTCTGTTTTCCAAGCACCAGGCCCCAACTGAGTCACATGAGGATTAAGTAAGTCACCCAGGATCACATGACTAGGAAGTGGCTCTGAGCCCAGCTTCCTGGCTCTAAGGTCTGCACCCTGTGCTGCTGAGCAAGCCCAGGTGAGACTGGAGGAAGAGAGCAATAGCTGCTTCTGGAGTGGGCCTCTCAAGGAGTGCTGAATGCTGGGCATAGAGCTATCTGTGTGTAGCAGCTGGGCTGCCTCGTTGTACTGCACCTCTGTTCCCGCTCCCGTAGAACTGGGACAGTGACACAGGTGTCAGCTGTCTTCAAGAATTCACAGCCCACCAGAAAGAGGCAGTTCAGGGCAGGCATGAATGTGCTGGGGAGCAGGGGCTGCCGGGCACCGGTGAGCTGGAAGAGAGGAGCAGCAGCTGCCTGGGGGAGCTTTGGTGGAGTCCAGCAGGCTGGTGGTTTAAACGGTGGCGTGTTGTCTCTCAGTTCTGCAGCTCGGAAGTCTGAGGGGAAGACATTAGCAGTGCAGGTTCCTTCTGTGGGCTGTGAAGGGAGGGTACAGTCTGTCCCAGGTCACCCTTCTGGCTTCTAGCAACTTCTTACTTAATGACAGCACAAGCTGAACCTTCACATGGCATTTTTCTTGTATGCATGTGTCTGTCTGTCTGTCTCTGTGTTTCTTCTTTTCTTCTCTTTTTTGAGACAGGGTTGGAGTATGCATGTCAGACTGGTCTTGAACTCACCATATTGCCCAGGTTGCCCTTGAACTCACGGCGATCATCCTACCTCAGCCTCCCAAGCATTGGGATTACAGGCATGTGCCACCATGCCCAGCCTTGTTTCCTCTTTTAATAAGAACAGAAATCATGTTGGAAATCAGACCCACCTTAATGGCCATCTTCATTTGGTTACAGTCTGCAAGACATTGTCTGTGTCTATGAATAAGTTGTGTCCTGAGGTCCCCCAAGGTAGACTCTTCAACCTGTGAGTGCTGGTGGAGTTCAGCCTGTCACAGATAGTGTCATCTGTCACCAGCAGCTGCTCCTTCTTGCTTATTGCAGTAGGGGCAGGCATGGGGAAGCAGCCAGTCCTGCAGAACCAGGGGCAGGAAATTTGCAAGAGGGAGAAATTCGAAGAGCTTGCCAGCCTGGTGCCTCCAGTCAGGAGACAGGACACCTCTGGCTTCAACAGAACCGGACTGGAACCTCTCCCCTCTGGTCATCTGCAAATACAGCTGAGTCTGCCCCTCGTTCCCTGCTTGTTACCTGTATGGTATCTGCCTTGGTATCAGATAGGATCAGCTGGGTTGTGCTACAGTAACAAACAAAGCCCCACATCCCAGAGTTTCAAATAGCAATGCTTTTATTCATTTTTCCTGTCTTGAGCCTTCTGGCCTAGCTGGGGCCTGTTCCTTACCAGCCTCACTGTAGGACCATGACTGAAGATCACAAGTCTCTGGCATGCTGTAGAGGCCGAGAAGAGATCCCTGGAGTCTGAACTATCCAGGGAGCAGTGTTATAGCCTATCACAAACCCCTGGGGGATGTTCTTGCAGCTCACAGCTGCTGCTATGTTTTCTTGCATATCTAATGAGGTGGGCCAGACCTATGGACAGTGCCACCTGGGGGGACTTGTTACCTCGCAGGCTGAGAATTTGCATTTCCAACAAGTTCATCTGTGATTGCTGGCACAGGTTTCCAGGGACCCTTGGAGCCTCACTTTGTGAAACTCCAGGCTGCGTTATGCTAAGGGCCAGTTTCTGTGTGGGGCCCCTGCATATGGGTAGGTGGAGAGAGGCCCACAGGTGTGTCCCCTGGGCACTCAGGGAGGGGCATCCGTCTGCCCAGTCTCCCTCTCTTCCACTTCCGGAAGAGAAGTTAATGTCTGCGGAGCTACATGGCTGTCTTCCGGCCCTTCCAGTGGCCACATGGACTGCAGCATGGCTTTCGCCAACACCCAGGAGTTTAGGCACTAACCTGTGTCCCTAGGCACGTATGTGGGGAGGGGTGGTGCAACTGGAACTTGGGACAGAGTCAGCTTGGCCCTCGAGGCAGGCTGTGCCAGCTGAGGGACACTCAGCAGGACAGGGCCTGAGAGATGGGGTGTCGAGAGGGTACTGGGGGATGCATAAGGTTTAAACCTCGTGAACTCCTTGCACCAGTGCTGGGATTCAGGTACTGCGTTTCAATATTACTCTTTCATACACTTGATTACTTCAATTTAAATTAGTCCCTAAGTTTAACTCAGGTTTAGTCATTTCTTTGCCCATTCTCTGTCCTTGCAGTGGCCAGCCTGCCTCTTCGTGCGGGGTCGTGGTGGTTGCTGCGGCAAGGAGGCTCCACGAGAGATCAGCTCACCGCCTCATCTAGCACTGGGGCGAGTTTGCCTCGCTCTTGCATGCTGGTTCAGCTGCCTGTGACAGCTGAGGACTTTCTGTTGTCACTGAAAAGACAAAATGATGATGGCTTTTTGGTGCCAGCACATTCACAAGTTGAACGCCCATGTAGGAAATAAAGCCTACAAGTCAGAATAAACCAAAAGTTCACAAAAGGGAATGAAAGAGGAGCAACACTGTTTGTTGTTCTATAACATATTGGAAGAGCTGTGTTTCTGTGCAAATCAGTGTTGGCCTGAGTGATTTGGCTTTTTGCATTTAAAAAAATCTTTCTTTATTTGTTTGCGTTTGTGATACAGACCGGTCACATTTGCGCTGAGGAACTGTGCCCGTGTATGGAGATCTTGGTCAGTTTGGTTCCTTGGAGGACTTCAGTTTTTCTTCAGCCCAGTGGCAGTGAAGGTCCTTTGGTTCTGCACTTTGTCATTGCATAGCTCAGCAGCTTCTGCAGGACGCGGCTCGGTGTGGAGTTATTTTTATTTGCTTCTCCAAGGTACACACCTTCAAGCCAAAGACACATGTCCTCCAGCAGTTCGGGAAAACTCAACTATATCGCTTCCAAATCGCCTCCTCCTGTTCTCTGAATCCTTTCCTGTTGACCTCCAGCGTGTTGGACATGCTCACCCTGTCCCGTGTCCCTCCTGAATTCTCATTTTTCACCCTTATCTCTGTGCGGCATCTTGAGTAAGGTCCTCAGATCCATTTTTCAGATCTCAGAGCTCTGCTAATTAACCTGTCTGTTGAGATGCTAATTTCAGTGACTTTGTGCTTCCCTTTCTAGGAGTTTTATGGGTTCTTTTGTAGATATGCGTGTTCTCTTTTTGCAGTGTCCTATTCTTTCATTATGCATTCTGTTCCTTCTTTTATTGCTGTAATTATTTTAAACATATTTCTTTTATAGTCTCTTTCAGATACTTCTGTCTCAAATCGAGCTTTCAGCTCTATTAGCCCGTGTTGGTGGAGGATCTATCAATTCTGCTGTTTGTGAAGCTTGCCGAGTCGCTGGTACGCTAGATGGTTTTCTCATGGAGGTCGTGGTTGTTTTGTTCTGACCTCCTGAGTCCTTTCCTCCTTCCCCCATGTGCTGGTCGTGTAAGGACCCTGCACATCAGCCTTGTATTTTCTCATGTTCCTGGTTTTCACTGGCTCAAGGTTACTCTTCACTTTGGCTTAGATTCCAT